CCTGCTCAGGCCCAGAAGAGGGCCAGCGTGTGCTCCCGGCTCAGCCCCCTCCCCAGGGGCCAGCCCAGACCCAGCCCACAGGAGGGGGCTGAGCCCAGGACGCTGTTACTCCAGTGCAAAAGGGCCTAATGATTCAGAGCAAGGTGGGGACAGCGTGGAAAGTCCCTGGGAAGCTCGTACAGTGACTCAGTGTGCATCTGGGGCCCGCAGGCCTGGCTTGGTCAGGGTCCCACATCTCTGGAGCTGGAAGACTGGGAGCCCAGAGGCAAATCTTCCAAGAGCTTCTGTCCCCCAACATTGGGCTCTGGACCCACAGACACAACACAGCCGCTACCCTGAGCAGGTCGCCTGGCCTGCTCCTCCCTAGAGGTCCCTGTCCCGCTCTGGGGACAGCAGCAGAGACCCTCCCCGCTTCAAGCCCACCTGCAAACAGGGCCAGGCAGGGCCTGTATGCCATGCCCTCTGCTGTCCCTGCCCCCATCACCCAGGCCTGTCTCCAGCCCTGATAAGACACCCAGACACCCAGGCCTCGTGGGATGGCTGCCGGGTCTGTCCCAAGCATTGACAAGCCTCTGTTGGAGCCTCTTTGGAGTGTGAAGAGACTGGGCGGTGCCTCTGGTGGCCAAGGGACACAACTCTCCAGGGAATTCCCAGGGACAGAGAATGGAAGTGGGACTGGCCTGGGCTAGGGAGACCTGGCTAGGGGTCAGGCCAGCAGCAGGCAGGGCCCTACTGAAGCTCACTTCTTGGACACAGGCTGGAGCTGGGGGCCCCAGGACCTGGAAGTGCCCCCAGGCCCTGCCATCACGGCCGCCACCACCAGAGGAGAGGCATGGGGAGAGGCTGGTGGAGCTGCACACCTCCTTCAGAGAGCTGTTCGCCTTCTTCTGTGCCAACGCCACCATCCACGGTGCCATCCGGCTTGTCTGCTCCAGCCAGAACCGCCTCAAGACGGCATCCTGGGGGCTGCTCTTCCTGGGCACCCTGGGCATGCTCTACTGGCAGTTCGGGCTCCTCTTTGAGCAGTACTGGCGGCGCCCTGTCATCATGACAGTGTCTGTGCATTCGGAGCCAAAGCTCTTCCCGGCGGTCACTCTGTGTGACATGAACCCGCACCGGTGAGGGGTGGGGGCTAAGATGAAGGGTGGGGTGGCCTGAGGGTTCCCAACGCCTCTGCTCCGTAGCCTGTGGGCACCTCACCAGGTGTGGTCGCAGTGGAAGCGCCAGGGGTTCACAAAGCCCTGGTCACTGTGATCCACCTCACCCCACCCCTCGCCCAGCCAGGCCCTCTGCTCTGTTGGGGTGGGGCTAAGGGACAAGGCAGAGCCATATGGCAGGCCAGAGCTGGCTCCCGGCTCAGGACCGCCTTCTAAGCATCCCAAGGAAGGGGGAGGCTGCTGTCCACTGACCTCTGGTGTCAGCACCGTGTGGGCCAGCATGGTTCTCCCTGTCACCATCCCATCCCTGATGTGGGAGACCTTGGGGGTGGGGCCCTGACTCCCCTCCCCTCCCTCACCCTGCCCTCTCAGGCCCAGCTGGGCCCACCGCCACCTACAGGCACTTGATGAGTTTGCCCATGAGAATATCTACTCCCTCTACGAGTTCAACTTCAGCAGAAGCAGGGACACCCCCATCGTCAAGGACCCCGGCCCCGAGCCGGCCTTCCAGCTGGACCGCGGAATCCGCCTGCAGAGGCTGAGCAGCTCGGATGGCCAGGACAGAGTGGGTTTCAGGCTGGTGAGTGTCCGGATCCCTGCAGGGTCTCCACATGCTGTCACCTGCAGGGTGCTGAGTCAAGCGTGGGCAGGCGAGGGGGCTGTGCTGACCTGACACCCCCCCACCTAGTGCAACAGCTCGGGCAGTGACTGCTTCTACCGGGCCTACTCGTCGGGTGTGACAGCTGTCCGGGAATGGTACCACTTCCACTACGTGAACATCCTGGCCTTGCAGCCCGTGGCCTCTGAGGACAGCCACAGAGGCCACGGGGGCCATTTTGTCTTCTCCTGCAGATACGACGGCCAGGACTGCGAGGCCGGGTGAGGGCCGCTCCCCTCTGCTCCACCTAGCAGGCGTGGGGGCCACCCCCAGAGGCCTGCTGGCTACAAACAGGTCCCCCCAGAGATAAGGCCAGCCAAGGTCCCTTGGGCCACGCTCAAAGGGGTGATACACCAAAGGTGTGTGCTGGTCTGAGCGTGGCCCCTGCTTCCAGGCACTTCCAGACATCCCACCACCCCACCTATGGCAGCTGCTACACCTTCAATAATGAGTGGAGGGCGCAGCGCCCAGGTGTCACCCATGGTGAGTGCCATCCCTGGGCTGGGTGTGAACAGGGGGCGTCCAGGCCAGCCCGGCCTCATTCCTGGCCTTCCCCTAGGGATCAGCCTGGTCCTCAGGGCTGAGCAGCAGGACCACCTCCCTCTGCTGTCCACGGAGGCTGGCATCAAGGTCATGATTCACAGGCGCAACCACACGCCTTTCCTGGAGCATCGAGGCTTCAGCATCCGGCCGGGGACTGAGACCACCATTGGCGTCCGAGAGGTGGGGCCGGCCTCTGGGGGTGGGGCGCAGCCCTGGGGCCTCGAGGGCACGGTGGCGGGAACTGAAGCCGCCCCCTCCCCCCAGGATGAGGTGCACAGGCTTGGGAGCCCCTATGGCCCCTGCACCCGCGGCGGGCAGAGTGGGGCTGTGCAGCTGCTGTACAACGCCTCTTACACCATGCAGGTGAGCCGGCGTGGGCGAGGGGCAGGGAGGCTGGGGGAGTGAGGTGAAGCGGGCAGCAGGGAGGCCCGGGGGAGGGGTGGCCACCCCTGGGAACCCCAGCTCCAGTCCCTTGCTGTTCCCCTAGGCCTGCCTGGTCTCCTGCTTCCAGCAGCTGTTGGTAGAGACCTGCTCCTGTGGCTACTACTTGTACCCCCTGCCGGCCAGGGCCGAGTACTGCAGCTATGCCAGGCACCCAGCCTGGGGTGAGCCCTGTCCTGCCCCCACCCACCTCGTGGCCCTTGGTGGCAGAGTCACCCGCAGGCTCTGTTAGGAAACCTCCCCACCACTAGTGTCACTCCTAACAGGTTCCCTGTGACCCCTCCCCAGGTCACTGCTTCTACCGCCTCTATAGGGACCTGGAGGCCCACAGGCTTCCCTGTGCGTCACGCTGCCCCAGGCCCTGCAGGTGAGCAGGCCATGTTGTGGTGGGGTCAGGGGCACTGCCCTCGGCGCCGGCATGGTGTGATGTAGTCTGTCTCTCCTAGGGAGTCTTCCTACAAGCTCTCTGCCGGGACCTCCCGATGGCCTTCTTCCGAGTCAGTGGTGAGTGCTCTGAAGAGGTGGGGTGAGGGGCACCCCAGAGCCCACCCTAGGCCAGCCTCTGCCCTCCCCAGCCCTGCAGCGCCCCGCGGGCTGGGAGGAGTGGTGACCACAGCGGTCCTACTGTGTGCAGGACTGGATCCTGGCTGTGCTGGGCAAGAACAGCAACCGGAGACCCAGGGGGAGCCCAGGCCCCAGGTGCGTGCGCCCCTCCTGCTCTGGACTCATGTCCTGGCCTCTCCCCTGCGATCCTCACCCTTCCATGCCCCCAGGGAGGGCTGGTCCAGGACCCGGCCCCTCATGCCTCTGCCCCGTCCCAGGAGCAACGTTGCCAAGGTGAACATCTTCTACCAGGAGCTCAACTACCGCACAATGGACGAGACTCCCATGTACTCGGTGAGCCAGCCAGGACCAAGGGCCAGGGGCGCACGGGGCACACAGGTGGGCGGGCCCCTTCTGCGCTCATGGCCCGCTGACGCCTGCAGGTGCCTCAGCTGCTCTCGGCCATGGGCAGCCTCTGGAGCCTGTGGTTCGGCTCGTCCGTCCTCTCTGTCCTGGAGCTGCTGGAACTGCTGCTCGATGCCCTGGCCCTTGCCCTGCTGCTGAGCTACCGCCGGCTCCACAGGCCTCGGGGGTCCCAGCGGGGGCCGGTCAGCTGACTAGTGGTTGCAGGCATGACATCCACCACCCGGGGGGCCCACCTGGTCTCACCTCCCACAGTGCTTCCGGGAATTCCGGCAGGAGTCTCGGCTGAAGAGTTAGGCCAGTGCGGCCCCTAGACTCCCAACCCCTGAACCAGCCTGAACTCGGTCTGACCCTGGGGGCTGTGGCAGCAGAGGCCAATCCTGGTTGCCCAGGATTGGCCAGGCGAGCCCCACGGGGCCTCCTCAGGCCAAGCCAGGCCCAGGACCCTTAGCTCCAGAGCTCACAGGTGGGCAGGCGCCCAGCCACCCTGCCCAGTGGTGGCCTCGCAGGTCTCAGGGAGGCCCCGGCAGGGAGGAGGGTAGTGTCCCCACCACTCTGTGTTCCAAGAGTGACTCTGTGAACATGTGTGAGCATGTACATGCGTGGGGTGTGCCTCCACGTGGGGGAGTGCTTGGAGTGTCACGTGTCTGTGTGTCTCTGTCCACACCTATGTGCATGTGTGTGCAGACATCAGGCAGGGCCTTAGCTGAGGGAAGATGGGAGAAAAGGCAGGACCAGGCTGGGCACTGGGTGGTCTTGGGCTACTTTGTAATAAAATCAATTATTCTGCCTGGTGGCTGGAGCCTGTCTGTCCACCCAGTCACTCTTCCCTCAAAGCTGAGTACTTGAGGCCGCACCTCCACCTGCTTGGAGCCACAGACATACTGCAGGGGCTGGGAAAGAGGAGGTCCCTGGGCCGAGGCCAGCTCGCAGGGCCAGGGCTTGTCCAGGGGACCAGCCTCACCCATTGGCAGCCACCCCTGCTCCCACCAAGAGGCCAGAGTCCAGGCCAGAGAAAGGAATGGGGCTGGGAACCAGGCTGGGGGTGTCAGGAGTCAGTTGCCTCAAAGAAGCCCCAGTCCCCCCATCAGGCGCCTGGCAGACGGCAGCTGTACTGTCTCACTACATCCTTCTGGGATACTGGTGCGCCCCGCCCCAGGCCACCCCTCGAGAAAAGCCAGGAACCTAGACGCCTCCCCTCCCCAGCCCCCTGAGTGAGCAGAGCGAGGCGGGTGGGCCGATGACGGGCAGCAGGTGCAAGCGCAGTTTATTAACTGATCTGGAGCAGGGCCCGCTCTGCCAGTCTGAGGCTCGAGCACAAGGCCCTGTGGGCACGAGGTCCTGACGCAGGCAGTGGGGCAGGAGTGGGAGCAGAGCTCAAGCAAGGAGGGAGGAAGGAGTTAATTCTGCTCTTTAGGGCTCATAGCCGGCAGGTGAGAGAGTTGGGGGAGCCCAGTCAGCACCCACCTTGCTGCCCATGGGGCCTCCCTAGGCAGCCTTTGCATAGTGACCAAGCAACTGGCCTTGGCCTGACCAAAGACCCAAGTTGGGGAGAGGCCCAGCCACTGCCCCAGGGCTCCAGAAAAGGGGCCCACTGAAGGCATTGGTAGGCCCTGGGCAGTGATCCAAGGGACCCCTGGGCCCACTGAGGGCCTAGCCCAAGGGGTAAGGCTGGTGAGGGAGCAGGGCAGAGCTGCAAGGGTCCCCTGTGGCAGCACACAGAGCCGGGGGTCAGGGTGGTGCTCCGGAGTCCACAGAGAGAAGGCGTGAGATCAGGTGAGGCTGTTGTAGAAAATCCACTCAGTCTGTGACAAAGAATATCAGATGCAGGGGTGGAAAGTGACAAAACCCTTTATGCGCTGGCTTTGGGCCAAGTACCTCTGCAGGAGGTGGGTTAGGGCCGCCAGCACGGGGCTGGCATGGCCAGCCCCGTGGCCTCAGGACGCCTGCATCCAGCCAGGGCTGAGGCCCCAGGCCAGAGCCTCTGCCCCCAGCACCCAAGAAGCCCAGCCCGGATGCTGGGGTCACTAAGTGAGGTACATGGGTTGATTCCCTGGATGGACTGCCCCTCTGACCTCAAAAGGCGCTGGTGGCCAGCCACCAGCCAGGGCCCAATGGAGGGGGTCTGGGGGTATATAGGAGAGACCCAACTAGCAGGTCAGCATTCTGGGGCAGTAAGGGTGGGAGCAGGAGGCGACACAGGCAGGGGTGGGGACAGGGGCACAGGGACAGAGGGGCACAAGGTGACTCAGGGCCTTCAGAGTGGTTTTTGACATGAGCAACCCAGACCCCCGAGGAAGAGGTCACCTGGAGACACAGGGTCCCCGCGTGGGGGGAGGGGCCCCGGGTGACACAGCGCCTCCCAGGGAACATGGGGATTCAGAAGATTCAGTGCTGGGGCCCCGGGGGTCCGGCAGCTCCACCAACAGCAGAGCAGGCGGCTGGGGCTCTCCGAGCCCAGCACGGGTGCCCTCTGGAGCTGGGCCAGGCTGTCCAGGCACGGCAGGGTGAGAGCCCGAGGCGGTTTGGCAGCCGGGCCCGTCCCGCCCTAGCTTTCCTCCAGGTGGAGGCTGATGAACTCCTGGATGCACCTGCGGTACTGGAGCTCCGTGGGGCTGCTGCCCGCCAGGAGGCCTGCCTGGCCCGCGGGAGCCTCGGCCTCCCGCATCTCCTCAGCCATGCGGGCCAGCCGGAGCCTGGAAGGGCAGCAGCATGAGGCGCGCCCGGCCCGCCACACCCCCCCACGGAGATCCCCGGTGGTCACCTCCATGGGGACGCCGCCCCAGCCCTCTCCTCCGGAATCCCGACGGGTCCCCCCTACCTCCCAGACCTCCTCAAACCAGACACGGGCCCCAAGGTGAGCCAGTCTGCGCTCACAGCGTGACGATGTCGGCATTTGCCTCCTGGACCGCGATGCTCAGCGGGTCCTGCTTTTTGTGGTCCACCGCATGCTGGTCCGCCCCCCGCTTCAAGAACAGGCAGACCTGGCTGAGGGCGGAGGGACGAGTCGGGGAGGGCTCGGGGAGGGCGGGGTATCCCAGGCCTGGGCGAGCGGGACGCGCGCCCACCACTCACCCAGTGCGGCCCAGGAGCGTGGCGTGGTGAAGGGGAGCGCGGCCCCGGCTGTCTCTTTGGTTTACGTCCGCCCCGTTTTGCAGGAGGAATTCACAGACGATCAAAGAGCCCTGGGGCGCCGGGGAGTTCCCACTGAGCAGAGGAAGCGGCCCTGGCGGGGCCCCAGCACTCCTGACGCGAGCCCTGGGTGCCCGTGGCCCGACGGAGCCCTGTCTCCAGCAGAGGGATGAGGGGCCCTGGGTGCACGCCACGGAAGATGCCCCTTGTCCTGCGCAGCCCCCGTGCCCGCTCACCCCTAGCACAGCCTGCACCAACGGCGTCTTGCCCTCGTCCTCCACATCGGCCCAGTTGACCTCGGCCCCATGGGCCAGCGCTGCAGCCAGCGCGGGGAGGTCGCGGGTGCGCGCTGCGCGGTGCGCCAGTAGCCCAGGGTGCAGCTCGCGCACGTCCGCCAGGCCCCAAGCGTAGGCCTCGGCCTCGCCATCCGCGTCGCCGCTGGACTCCTCCGACTCTGCTGCGCCCTCTGTGGAGAGGGGGACGGTCAGGGACGGTGACCTGGCCCAGAGTGGTGGTGGGGAGGGGCTACGTCGGAGGCGGGGAGACACCACCCACCCTCCTCAGTGACACTGTCCACCGCGGAGCTGGCGCCGAAGGCCAGGACGTCCGAGCTGCCGTCAGAGCTGCCCCCTAAGCCGCTGTCGCTGCTCAGACCTGTGGGGTCCGCAGGCAGAGGGGTCCTGAGCATCCCTGACTCCTCCCAGACCCCTGCGGGAAGGCTGGAACACCATCCATCCTCCAGGGATGCCCCCAGGGGACAGGATCAATCCCCACTAGGGAGGTAGCCCTGCCCAGAATGGGAGGAAAGGGGTGAGAACCAAGTAACAGCTCCAAGGTGCTAGGAGGGTGGCCCACCCGGGAGCCAGAGCCATGTGGAAGCCCACCCTCTCTGCAGGTCTGCCTTAGCAGCATGGATGCTAGCAGGATGAATAGCCATGCTCAGTCAGTCATTCAGCCCTGTTTGTGGCCAGTGCATGCTGAGAAGTCCCTGTGCAGAGATGGGGTCCTTGCCAGGCCCTGGAGACAAGGGCCCCAGACAGCACTGGGCCAGCTCTGCCCAGCTCAGGAGGGCAGCCCAGGCTTGGGACCGGCGAGGCAGCGCCCTCTGCTGCCCTTGTCACCAGCATCAGCCCTGCCAATTCTCAGCCCCTCCCTGCCTTCTGCTCACAATGCCCAGGGGGCTCTCTACCTGCCTTAGGCCAGTGGGTGCTGAGGAACCCTTAACAGGCAGCGCTTGGGGTGGAGCCCTGACCAGTAGCATATGCCCCCAAATCCAACAGGGGCTGGGGAAGACGCACATGAAGCCTCTCAGGAGCCGGCTGCAACACATGCAGTCAGGCCCCAGGCCCCCAGCACACATACACACACACACACACACACACACACACACCTGTCCTGTATATCTGTTTGCACATGTACAACCATGTGCACAGTCCACCCACACACCTGTGTGCACTGGCACACACACATTCACACATCACTCTTGGGGGGGCACGGCCTCAGCCTTCAAGTCAGTGACCAAGTTACTCCCAGACCCTCGAGATGCTGTCCCAGCCTCAGCCTGACTGACCCCCAAATTCTCTCCAACCCAGACTAGCCTCAGTGATACCGCCTCCCCAGTCCTTCCCCCTGCAAGGAATGCCCAGCCCACCAGTCCCTGAGCAAGTGGCCGTAGCTCCCCTCATTCATCCAGCCCCCAGGCAAGCCAGGCTTGGACCCTGCTCTGCCGCCCCAGCTGGGCTGAGGAGCCCTCCCAGCACTCACTGCGTGGACCAGACGCAGCGGCCCCAGCATCAAAGTAGGAGAAGAGGGAGTCCAGCTCGTCCGGGCAGAAGAGCGAGTCCCTCCGGAACTTTCGCTCCACAGTGCCTGCAGCAGGGGGTGGGGAACTGAGGCCCAGGGCACAGTGGGGTGCCCGGGGCATGCTGGCAGCTGAGCAGAGCTCAGAGGTGCCCCTGTGAGCCCCTGGCTACCCCGTCCCTGCCCCACCCCACCCTGGCCTCCCTGGTGCCCAACCCCCACCCCTGCCCAGGCACATGAGCCCAGGGTGTCACTTGACGGCAGCCCTCCCACCTGAGGACAGAGCAGCCACAGAGGGCAGGACAGGCTCCAGCCGGACCTTGCGGCGGGCAGTGGGGACACGGGGGGAGCTGTGGTGGCGCTGGCACTTCTGCGCTTTCCAGCGACGTGGGGCCTCCCGGGCTGGTGCCAAAGGTGGCTTCCTCAGGAACTTCTTCTCCACATACTTGTCCTTGATCCAGGCCTCCTTGTCCCGCCTGGACCCGGGGCAGACATGAGCTGGCCTCCAGGGGCTGGGGCTCCCCGGCCTGTCCAGGCTGCCCCCGCCTCACCTGGGGCTGCTGGCTGTGGGCTTCCTGCTGCCCAGTCCCTCACACTGGGCCTCATAGATCTGGTTCACAGTGCTGTTCCCAAGCTCGCACATCAGCTAGCAGGAGAAGGGGGTGCAGGCATCAGTCCCAGATCACAGATGCCCCCAAAGCTTGCAGACTTGACCCCCAGCCCCCACACCATCAGCCTGCAGCCTGCGGTGGCCCCGCACACCTTCAGCAGCTCGGGCTCCCATGAGTCCAGTGTCAGGGACCGCACCTTGGAGCAGTGGACACCCAAACTCCTGGACGGCAAGGAGGCGGGGAGTCAGAGTGGCTCCGCCACGGCACCCCACCCAGCCCGCCAGCGGACCCACCTGTGGATGCCTGAGCACTCGATGCAGAGCAGCACGCCCAGGTTGATGCTGGCCCAGCGGGGGTCTGGCTGACCGCAGTCTCCACACTGGCTGTTGCCAGCCACGTTCTGCATGCGCTGCAGCACACCCTCACCCTTGCCGCGCTCCCGAGAGTCTGTGGCTGAGTCGATGCTGCTGGTGGACGGGGATGCCGCACGGTCCAGCCTCTGGGGATGTGTGAGGGGCCATTCAGCCCTACAGGAGCTGGAGTCTGTCTCCCCAGCAGGCCTGCTCTTCCTCCCCAGACAGAGGTGCCAGCACAGGATAGGACCCCTGGAGCACAAGCCTGAACACGCATATGCACGCACTCACACTCACATAAGCACCATGCACACACATGCATGTGCGCACACATGCCTGCATGTAGCCCACTGGCCCTCTCCCCACAGCACATGTGGAGCCACACCTCGCTGTAGCAGCTGTCCGGGCTCTCCCGGTAGGCGGAGGCAATGCTGGCCTGCACCGCCTGGACCCAGGCCTGCCGCAGCTTCTCGGAGTCAGCCTGCAGCATGCAGCTCCTGGGGGAGGGACCGTCAGGCCCAGCAGGCAGGGCCCCCTCCCCACTCCCCACCCTGAGATGGGCCTCCTCACTTGGTGGGTGACACGACCTCAAAGCAGAACCTCCGCTCGATGTCCTCGCAGGGCTTCACGGAGCACAGGCGCAGGTCGTCCACCACCACAGTCAGTGCGTCCTGCGGGCGGTGCACTGTGGCCCTCAGCTCAGCACCCAAGACCTGGTCCTGTGCTGACCTTCTACTTATTGCTCTACCTTGGAGTCAGACGGTATGACAGGAAGGGGCCTCTGTCCCCTGGCCACCCAGGTTTGGTGCTGTTGGTGTCCTGAGCCCTGTGTGACCCCCGCTGACCAGCCCACCCAGGTCCAGGCCCAGGGGTGCCTAGCTGTCCAGCCCAGCGCCAGCAGCCCTACAGCGCACCTTGAGCCTCTTCCGGTAGACCAGCTGGCTGTTCTGGATGGAGAACCAGCGCCTGGGTGGGCAGACAGGTCAGGAGGGGGGTCAGGCAGGCCCGGACCCCATGTGAGCACCACAGCCCCTGAGCAAGGCCTGCCCTCACCGGTTCCAGGTCTTGAAGGCGTTGCTGGCCCTCTTGAAGAGGTAGCCCTCCATCACCACACCACTTGGTGCATCCACATCAAACTCTGCTTTGGGCTCATCATAGGAGAAGTCCTGGGGGTGGTCGGAGCCCAGCCCCCGTGAGCAGCCGCCCTGGCCTGTCAGCACACCGCTGCCCTCCCAGGCTCCCCCAGAGCCCAGGCTGACGTGGGGAGCTGCTCTTCATAGCCACTTCCTGACCCGAGCAAGGCCCACTGCCCCAAAACCCCATGGGGGTAGACGCCTCCCATCACAGCTGGGAACCCAAGAGCACCCTCCCCACCCCCCAGCCCCGTCAGGACAGGGGCTCTGGGATCAGGAAGGAAGCTGCCTACCCCCCACCCTGAGCCCTCCATTCATGCCGCCAGCTGGGCCCGCAGCCGGCCTGACAGAGCTCCATTCACTCGAGCTGAGGAGGCACTGAGTGTTGTCCTGTGCATCGGGCACCCAGCCACCTGCTCTGGGGCTGAGTGGGGGCAGGAATGGGCAGCTGCTGCCGCACCCGCGGGGGGATGCTCCCAGCTCAGCCGGCTACTGCCAGCTGGCTGTGCTCCCTGGGCCGGTAGGAGGTGTCCTTGGTGCTGAAGCGCTCAGGGTGGAGAGGACAGAGGCCCCACCCCGCCCATCTCCCTCTTCCTCCCACTCCCTCCCCAAGGGTGGAGCCACTCACCTGCAGCAGCGTCTGAGAACCAGCCACGGGGTGGGTGGGCGGAGGGAGAGAGAGCTGGTTAGCAACGGCCCACCCCCAACCAGCCAGGCTCTCAGTGGTCCTGAAATAGCTGCTCTGCCCTGGGCAGCCCCAGGGGTGGCCGTCTGGCAGGTGAGCCAAGAGGGCCCAGCAGGAGCCAGTGACTGAGACCCCAGAAGCCACTCCTGGCCTCAGAGGAAGATGCTGGATTGGGCTCCAGGCCAGCACCTGTGAGCTGAGGGCATGGCCCACGGCCCACCCAGTCCTGGCCTTGCAGTGGGTGGCCATAGGCCCGCCCATCCCACGGCACTGTGTTGAGGTCCCCAAGCAGGGGGACCTGTTCCAAAGAGAAGCAGGGCCAGCCTCTGCAGAGTGGGCAGGCCTGGGAAAGGACGGGGCAGGCGTGCGGGTAGGCCTCCCAGGTCAGCAGCTTGCAGGGGAGCGGAGGGGAGGTGGTGCCTCCGGGGCCCCGTAAGGAGGGCAGGGCAGGGCCTCACCCGCTGCTGGATGGCCGCGTGCTTGCGCTCCATCTCCCGCTTCTCCACTGCTGAGGCGATCACCAGCTGGTCTAGCTGTAGGTGCAGGGGGGAGAGTGAGGCCCCGCTCAGAGACCCCAGCCCAGTCCCGCCCTGCCAGAGGGCCACCTCGGCGGCCAGCGTCTTCATGTAGGGGTCCAGCTGGTGCAGCAAGCTGTAGCCCTGCTGGAAGAAGCTGTACTGGGCGTGCATGAAAGACAGCATCTGCAGGTGGGGGCACAGGGGGGGCCTCCTCAGCAATGGCTGCACTTGAAGGGGGCACTCCAGCCCCACCCCCACTCCAAGCACTCACAGAATCCAGGATCTCGAACTTCTTCCTGGCCTGGAGGACGTTGATCTGCCACGGGAGGAATGAACAGGTGAAGGGTGACAGGCTGAGGCAGCCCTTAGCCTGTGCCTGGCCAGAGTCCACTCAGGCTGCCTGTGCTTCCCTGAGACCCCCAGCTTGTCTTCAGCTCCCTGAACCTGGGCCAGCCCCACCCAGCCACGGTCCTGGTGTCCTTCCCCAAGCCAGAACGTTGGGTCCCTCCCGTGGGCAAAGCCGAGCATTCTCACCCTGCTGGGAGACTCTCCAGATGCTCCTCAACGAGGTCAGAGGCCTCTGCCCCTGCGGCCCACGGCCCCGGGCTCGTCCCCAGCCCACCCTCACCTCTGGGCTTTTGCCTGGGCACCCCAACCACGTCCCTTCCCGAGAGCTGGCATCTGAGGCTTTCTCGATACAGAGGAGCTGCTCCAGACACAAGCTACATCTGTCAGCAGGATCACCTCTCTGGCCTCCCGCTGTGTCCCAGGACCCTACCCAGCATGCCCAGTGGCCCACCTGGAGCACGTAGTCCAGCGCCAGGTGGCGGAAGCACTTCCGGGTAAGGGTCAGGGCACCTGTGGCCTCTTCCACCTCATGGGGCCGGTGCCGCGGGGCCTGGGCATTCCTCACCAGGGACAGCTCCATGTCCTCTCGCACTCTGTCAAACTGTTTCTTGGTCTCCTTGAACTTCCGCACATCCCTGGGGCCAGCGATGTCGGGTTGGGGGTCTGAGGAGGGGCATGTGCGGGGTCTCCCACCTTCATGAAAGGCCTCCTTCCCTTCCTGGCCCCTCCCTGTGCTCCTGGGCCAGATCCTCTTTCTGCCTCCCTGTGCTGCCCCGAACCCCGTCCCCACGCAGGGCCTCCCCCTGCCCTTCATCACCTCACTCCCAGGATGGGTCCAGCCCGCGGCAGCCTCCAGCCTCACCGGGGCTCCAGACTTATATACCCATCAACTCAACGTCTCCATGGGGGAGGCCCATGGGCACCCCGACGGCACATGCAGACACCCAGCTCAGACTCCTGCCCACGCCAACCTGCTCCCACGAGTAGCCTCCTGCCTGCTCCTCCCCTTCGCTGAGGCCCCACCTGCCCTGTTTCCTCAGCCCAGCCCTAGCCCACCACCCGACCTGTGTCCTCGCTCAGCCCCCACCCACAGCCAAGGCCTCCTAGGCAGGCCCAGGACCCCCCAGATCAAGCATCGCTACACTGCTCCCATTCCTGCACAGGCATCACCCCTGGGGCCACTCACTCCTTGATGAAGTTGTGGAGCTGCTGGCGCACAGACCTCTGGGCTTGGTCAAACAGGATCTGGAGGCCCAGGGCGCAAGGCAGTTGTGAGGGGTCCATCCCCACACCACCCTGGAGGCCAGGCCTGGCTGCCAGGTGACAGAAGCCACGCCCACTGCCTGGGCCCCTGGCTGGCACCCTCATAGAGCCACTTCAAGAGACCCAGGGCAGTGGGTGTGGCTCCAGGCCTGGGCTAGCGCCCAGAGGCCACAGCTGTGACCACCTGCCCATCTCCCCCACCTGGCTCTTGGCCAGGCTGGAGGCCAAAGCTGACCCAGTCTGGCCACCTCCTACAGCCCCACCCCATGCTGCCAGATGGGGCGGGCACACTTGGTGCAGCACAAGACATTCACAGCCCCTCCGTAGGAAGAAATCAGGTCTGGGCCTGGAGCGAGGACCAGGCCTGAGGGCCACATGTTGGGTGACTGTCAGGAGCTGGAGGGGCCTCCCATGGTACTGATCAGGCCCAAAATCAGGCCCCCACGTCGGGAGCCAGGCCCCAAGGCGAGCAGACAGGCAATCAGAGGGATGGGGCAGGACAAGCTGTCCTGAGCTGGTTTATTTCCGCACTTCCCCTGTGGGGGTGGGGTGGGGCCCTTTGTTTAGTCTGGGGCTCTGGCTCCCAGGCCGTGGTCTGCCCACTCTGTGTGCCTTGGCTGTTGTGTGTGTCTGTGCTGGGGCGCCCAAAGGGCTTGAGGTCGCCTAGACCTAGCGTGGGTCGCAGTGAGGTTGGGGGTCACCCAGAGGCTGTATCTGGGCCTCCGCTCATTCTGAGAGCTGCCTCCTCCTCCTGGTCAGAGGGCCCTACCTGGTTGGGGGGCCCTGGATGAACCTCCCAGGACTCCCCCGCCCACAGACCCCAGGGCCCTCTGCCCTGGGCTGTGTTGCTGCACCCCCGACCCCCAGGATCCAAGTCCCTCCCCACTGTCCAGCCCTCACGTGGGCCACAGCACAGTGGCTCAGTGACGCCCCTCACCCCCTAGACTGGAGGAGCAGAAGCGCGGCCTCCCACAGCCGGTGGCCAGCTCAGCTCCATCTGGCAGCCCAGAGCCTTTCCAGGCTAGGTGGGGCCTGCGGGGAGGTGCCGGGCAAGTGGGGCCTGGGATGGGGTGGCTGGAGGCACGAGCCCTCAGACGGCGCCAGACCCCCAGCCCTGACAGGGCTTACCATGTGGTAGTTCACCATCTCTTGCAGGCTGTCTCCAAACCGCTGCAGACATTCCTGGGGGGCAGACCCCTTGCTCAGATGGGACGGCCAGGCCCCCAAAGTGTCCAGCACCTCCCCATCCACAGCCCAGGGCACCCTCAAGAGGCAGCCTGCCTGTGCCCACCCCTGACCAGAGTCAGAGGTCAGCTGCCTCCTCACCGAGATGACAGCATCGCCCTGGCACTGCTGGGACAGGTCACGGACGCCACTCACGAAGAGCCTGTTGGTTGTGACATAGGCCTTGCCTGCCTCGATCATGCCACTGCACAGTTTCACCAGCTGACGGGGGTCGGGGGTGGTGGGGGGAAGCAGCACTCACCACCTGAGCAGAGCCCTCGTTGCCACAAACAGGCCAGGCCACGGGCAGCACATGTCCCCAGGTGGCCAGAATCCAGCTTAGGGCCCATGTGGGACAGTGCCCCTGCACAGCCACTGCCCCAGAGCCTGCCCAGACCTAGCACAGCAAGGTACTGCCTGGCCTCTGAAACGCAGTGGGAAGCTGACGCAGGACAAAGCCCCAGGCAAGGAACCCAGGGCTGAGGTGGGCATGTGGTCCTGGCCCAGAGTCAGCAGGACCAGCCAGTGCGGGGCTGGGGAAGCTGCCCCTGCTTCCACCCTCTTCCCCTTCCCTGCCCTCCCCCAGTCAGTCCCTCTGACGCACAGCAACCCTCAGCAGCCCAGGGACAGTGGGAGGGGTCTCACCCAGGCCCATCCCACTTGATGGGAGAAGACCTGGGGCCGACACTTGTGCATGTGGTGTGTGCACCTTGCCCAGGTATGGAAGGATGAGGGACACACAGGTGGCTACACACGAAATGGGGTCAGGACTGCGCATGGGGGTCAGGAGAGCAGCCTTGGACCCCCGTGCACCCCAGGCCCTCACCTTGTCCAGCTTGGCCTCGATCTCAACCACGTCAGTCTCCACCTCATCGACAGTGGCCCTGCAATAGGAATGGCGGGGGCTGGAGGTAGACCTGGCAGCTTTGCCTCCCCGTGCACCACCCAAAGGGGTCTGTGGGGGAACAGCGCTGCATGGCGCACACCTACTTGCTCCCTGCCATCCCATGCCCCTCAGACACACCAGGAAATGGAGACTGGGAGAGGCAGATGCCCTGGCAGGAGGGGAAAGGACTGGGGCCCAGGTCCACCTGATGCCAGAGCTGCCCAACACCCACCACTGCAGGGAGGAAGAGGCCCCACTGGCTGCGGCGCCCCACCCAGGGTCTGGCTGCTGTGGCCCCAGGGAGAGAAGACCAGACAACCCCTAAGGATGGGGGTGGCTGGAATCCCAGCAGAGGCACACCCCCAGAGCTCCAGAGCTAGGGCCAAGCCTCACTGGCCACTCACATGGTCCAGCCGCCCCATCTCTGCGGGGCTCAGAGTTGGCTCAGACCCTATCTGAACCCTCGGCCCCTCTGCAGCCCACTGTTGCCTAGGGCCAGTAGACCCTGGGGCAGACCCATCTCTGTCTGCACCCACGAGCTCCGGGCAGCTGCGCTCTCTGGTTCTCACGGCACCAGGGGACCTCAGGCCAGTCGTGGTGGGCTGCCCCGGACTCCCTCAACCCAGAACACCTAGCGGCACAGTCTGCCCTGAGGGGGTGTGGGTCTGCCCTCACGGTAGCCCATCCTCAGGAGGCAGTCTGACAATGGGGTTGCCTTGGGGAGGGAAGAGTTAACGCATGACCTCACCAGAGAAGCCCCGGAAGGCAAGAGGCAGATGGACCAGACACGTGACCTCTACCCCCCCAAGCCCCACCCGCTCCAAGCTCCGGGAACAGGAAATAGAGAAATAGGGCCCCACCCCCAAACCAGCTCAGCTGGCAAGCTGGGACCATCTGGCCTATGGAAGACAAGGGACAACGGGGTATGGGGCTCAGGACTGCGGGAGGCAGGCCTCCAGGGACAGGTCCTGGATGGGGGTCAGGCAGAGGGGAGGGCACCTGGCCCAGGGGCCCGTGCTGCCTCTCGGCCAGCAGAGGGAAGGCGGGGTTCCCGGATTCCCGGGCCTGGGGGCAGGAGCTCCGTAAGCCTCACTTAGGGGCCGAGTGGGGGGCACCTGGCTGCCCCAGCAGGGGTCTTGAAGCCCCCTCAGTCCTCCCAGCAGGACCTGGGCTCCTCTCTGAGCAGCCCCGTCCTTCCGGCACGGGAAGGAGACCCTGCTCCGGAGCAGGGGAGGGGGCCTGAGGGGATGTCTGCTGCCCAGCTTCCCAGGGCTGAACCGCAAGGGGGTGTGGACTGAGGGGTGGCTGGCTGCATGAGGCTCAGACCCTGGGGACCCGACTGGTGCTGAAGCCTCCCCCACTAACGGTCCCAGGGCAGGGAAGGCCCCCCCACTCAGGAGAAAGTGCCCCCGGAGCCCCAGTCCCCATGCCCCCTCACCCACTCCACAGCCCCAGCTGTATGGAGGGCTGCCGTGCTGGGCCGGGTGCCTGGTCCCTAGAGGGCAGGTAGGGGTGGGCCACACCTGAGGCTGATGTGTTCACTGGGCAAGGGGGCGCTCAGCAGGGAGCAGAGAGCCGGCGCCTTGTACAGGGGCCCACACCCTCAGCTCTCCCCTCCCCTGTCCCCAGGGACCGACCGGGGCGCCCTCTCCTGCCTTCACCCCAGGATTCCCTCAGCTGCTTAGAGAATGGAGAGGAGGGTGAGGCCGGCTCCCCCACCACAGACGTGACTCAGCGCCTGAAGCCCCACCCAGGGGAGGGGGCACCAAGAACAAGGGGCAGGCGGTGCCCCAAGCCTGTCCGGGAGAGTCTGGACACCCTCCAGACGGTACCCCAGGGCTGTGGGATTCTCCCAGGCTAAGAGTATGCAGGAAGGGTCCCCCTTCCCAGGGCCAGGACCACCTGGCCCTACGTCACTGATTATATTCTCCCTCACAGCCCTACTTTGGCCCACCCCAGGCCAGCCTCCGGGAAGTCCAGGTTATATCCTCAGCAGCACCTGAGGGTGAGCGGACAGAAGGACCCCAAGATGGCCTCAATTCCACTAAATCTCAGCCCAAAAACCCATCCAGGGCAGTTTCTGTAGCCCAAGGTCTGGGGGAATCTCCTCAGTCCCCACCCCAGGCCTGGCTGGGCACTTTCCCTGGCAGGTCCTCCCTGCCATAGGAAACACAGCAAAGCCCAGGCAGTTGCCCCCCACTGCGGTGCCACAGGTGGAGCAGGCTGTTGTGGGTGGGAAGGCTGGGGTGAACAGGGTGCTGGGGCCCCAATCTGACCAGGCAAAATAGGCCTGGACACCTCCAGTGGGGGAGAGCATGAGATTCTGAGCCAGGGGCCATGGCGAGGCTGACCAAGACCCCAGCTGAGGCCCTGGCTCCACCTCCCCACCCCAGCCTGGTCAAGGAAGGCAGTGCAGTGGTGGAGACCCAGGATCGTGGGTGCCTGAGCCACTCACATCTCCCTGCCAATCAGCAACCAGGAGATGGGGGAGCACAGAGGCTTGCCCAGCCCCACTGCCCAGGCCATTCTCTGGACCAACTCCTGGTGCCTCGTCCACAGCCTACCCAGGCCCTAACTCACACCCCTGTGAGGTGGTCGTGCAAGGGCCCTGGGGTAAGAGAGCCGATGCTGAGGCCCTCCCAGAGACCAGACACGCACATGCACATACCCGAGCACACACGTTCAAGAGGCACAGTAGCCATGCTCATGTTCTGTCAAATGTGCATGCATGCATGCATGCATCAGCACAGGGCGCTCACAGATCTGTGTGTGTTCATGGGCTCCAGTGCTGGCATACATATGGACAAACTAACCTGTGTTTACTGCCAAAACGCACTTGTACAAAATGAATACACAGTACATGTGTTTCCACACCAAGGGACAATATGTGCACACACATGCATGCACCCACCACCATTCTACACTCTGGCATCTACAGGGAACCCAGATGCAGTTCACCCACACATTGATGTTCAGGGTCTGGCACTTCAAGGAAGGGTGCAGAGACAGAGCTCACAC